TGGGCTTCTCCAGGGGCTGCATCGATGTGTGGAGCTCCGCAATCCGGCTAGACCCAACCTGTTTCTTGACTCGGGTTCAAAAAAACATCAAACAGATTGATGTAATTCTCCAGAGGTACCCTATATCTCACCCCGAAAGTGAAGCTGGTACTGATACTATGGAGTCCTTGAGGATGAAGTTCATAGTTATCTCAGAGTAAATGATGTATAATGTTCACCTAAGTTTTGTTTTTTTTCTTTGTTTTCAATTTATGAAAATCAGTTCATGGTTGTTCTGAATAATTGAGCATTGAAGACTCGTTTTTCATGTATATTGCTGGTGAACTCTTAGATACTAATGGCGCTTATGAGTAATTAGTGGCATACATTAGTCAATGAGTAACGCAAAAAACCTATCTGGTCTTAGGACATGACTACTTACCAACTGTGGAATCTATCCTAGGTTCAGTATTCATTAATGTTCTAAACATTGCCATGTTCTTCTATTATATTTGGATCACATTTATTTCTTATGCTCATCACTTATTTGATGATAATAATAAGAGATTTTCCGTGTATTATCAAAATATGTCTTATTGCAAAAATGTGACTGAAGTTAGTTCAATGTAAATTTGGACATATTAATGATCACTAAAGCTATTGCTATGGTCACTAAAGTATAAAAAATCATGCTTTTATCTATTTTCTTTGTTAGAATCAAATATCCGTCATAATTTCTAATAATAATCTCTTCTATGGCCTCTTTCTTTTGTGAAGTATTACTCTGGAGTATGGCCAAGTAAACAAAACATAATCTTTATAACCATACCATACAGATGTGAATGGAAAGCATGTTCTTACACTTCTATGTATGTGAAATCTCTTCATGTTATTATGGCTTATATTTTAAGAATAAGAATTATCCTTGTATCTTGTTATTTCATACGTTATAGAAAAGAATATGACTAGCGAGTTTTAATTATTGACTATATATAATAGAATATATACTCTCGGCTCTATATATAAGACGATGGAGTCTTATTTGTATCTTGTTCTAAGATATTGGGCAAACACTCTCGCGCCTTGCGCGAGTAATCGCTAGTATACTAATATAAAAGGGAATCGGTGAATAGTGACAGTTCTCGCCCAAGTAAAACCCGTTGACTCACGTGGTGGACAGCAGTTTCAATCGGCAAATTTAAGAAATATTGAAAAACAATTTTTTTACATCATCGGCAGTAACATCAAAATTGTCGCTCCGCATGCGGCCATACAGATAAATTAGAAAAGTCGTAACACTTCGATTCCACACTTTGGAAATTTCCACTCACAAGTTAAACCGCTGCATATGAACCATCAGATTTCCTATCTACCTGTGGCATATAGAGACAGTGGCGGAACCAGAAGAATATTTGAGGGGGGCGGTCAAGAAATTCATCAAAACTCAAAATACTAAAATTGTGAGGAGAAAATATGAGAAAGTACAATGGTAATATAGACGTACATAATCTAACAACAATAACCTCTAAACTTTGGGGGTGTTTGGATCTGATTCTTAAAAATGCTTCTGCTTCTTTAGAAAACATAAGCAAGCTGGAGTGTTTGGGTGAAAGTGCAGAAGTGATTCTGGTGCTCTAAATTACTCCTAGAATCAGATTTTTTAGAAGTTGGGGGAGACCAGCTTCTGAAAACTGATTCTGATTATGCTTTTAAAAAAGAAGCAGAATCAGTTCCAAACACTCCTTTATTCCCAAAAAATTTTGGGGTCAACTACACATAGGTAATCTAACAAATATTAAAATTATAAAAATCATTAATAATATTGTTGAGGTTTATTCCTTCAACCCTCGGGTCCAACACGTAAGCCCAAGAATTTCGAGTGGAGTATGTGTGAGTAAACTAGCCCAACAAGCAAATGATATGGATAAAAGGGAACAAGAAGTAGCAAGTAAATGATTAGGTATTATTATCTCTTAATAACTCCCTAATACAATACTTCTCGTTAAGGCTCCGTCGGCCGTTCGTCTTACAAGGCAGTAGAAGTGCTACGAGTAAGGATGCTATAGCTAGAGTGCTAAGAATAGAAAGTTGCCAACTCTTTACAATGAAATAAATGCTCCTATTTATACCCGCCAATGGGCAGGTGGCTGTACTGACGTGGAAGCCTGTGGTTCGCTGGTGTCCCAACCACCAAATCTTCAGCATTAAATGCACTTCCCGCCAGAATCTAGGTTTCCCGCGTAATCAGTGGGGACGTTCGTCCGCCCGGGAAGCGAGCTGGATCACTCCAAGTGGTCTCCAAGGGGTATCTCCGTTCGTCCCCTGACCTTTGTGGATTCTCGCCATGTGGACTGGACCGCCTCCGATGGTTATGGGCTAGCTCTGACGACGTTCGTCGTCATTCCGGTGACCCGTGGCCCTGCTCCTTATCCCTGCATAGACGTTCGTCGAGATGGACCGTTGAGCCTAAACCCCCGACTGCAGACGCTCGTCCCTCCTGGAGGAACGTGGGCCTGCCAGACTAGCCTCATGTTCTAACTAGACGTACGTCTGGTAAAAGGGGTGAATGTGCCGGACCTTGACTTGGGCCATTAACCCAACAAATATTATAATATTATGTAATATAATATAAATTATTGGTCATTTTTATTTACTTAAGTTATTTACACAAGTACATAGTAGATAAAACAATATAAATCCCTACACTAATTAAAGATAATTGAAATTCTGAAACTTTAAATCCTGAAAAAGTAAATAATTAGAAGGATAAAGTTTTACCCTGAAACTGTACGGAATATATTAATAGCAAGCTAAACTAAATAATTAAAAACAATGATTACTAGTTATAAGATGTCTCAATTCAGCAATTCTCAAAGGAAAGCAACCTTTAAAACCTCAATTAATAATAAAATTGTTTCCGGTTTGATATGGATCGAAATTTAAGAAAGTTTTAATAAAGTGGATAAAATGCATGGTCATGGTTGAATAAAAAAATGTAAATGAATGTTAGTTAAACAAAACTTTCCAAAAATAATAAAAGAGAGTAATTTTTGAGGGCATTCCAAAAAGGTAAGTGTGAAGTTTAAGAGAATGATGGAGTAAAAAGTAAGAAATTTTTATTTCCTTTATAAAAGAAAACAATGTTTTCTTTGAAAAACAATTGATGAGTATTAAAATAGCTATGTCTAACAGGCCGTTTGACAACACTATTTTTCGGCTTATCAACCAACTTTTTCACCAAACACGTAACTTTAACTTCCGCACGCTGAATTGTGTAATAAACATTAAACGTAAGGTCTGAGTTACTATTTTGGCTGTATTGGCTGAAATTTTTGTAGATGACAATTTTAGCTATTTTTACATATAATTTTTTTCTTCATTTTATTAATAAAATATATTTTAAAAATAATTTTTTCTTAAATCAGCAGAATTAGCCAATGTAGCCACTTCAGCCAGAACTTCATAAATTTCAGCAGAATCAGCCAAAATAGTCGATTTTCGTGATACCAAACGGGCTCTAAATTTTTTAAAACTACATGCATGCGTATCATGAATAATTTATATAGAGCACATCAAAATGTTCATTAAGAAGCACGTTAAATCCCTATACTATACGGAGTATTTATATGAGAAAAATTAAAAATATAAACATCAGGTAAAAGTCTTCCATAGTATATATATACAAGATTATCCATTCGCACACTTTTAGAGCCCGTTTGGTAGCACGAAAATGGGCTGTTTTTGCTGAAATTTATGAAGATCTGGCTGAAGTGGCTGATTTGGCTGTTTCTGCTGATTTAAGAAAAAATTATTTTTAAAATATATTTTATTAATAAAATAAAGAAAAAATGATATGTAAAAATAGCTAAATTGATCTTCTACAGTAACTTCAGCCAATACAACCAGAAAAGTAACTCCAATCTTACTTTTTCTGCTTATTAATTAAACAATTCAGCGCGCGAAAGTAAAATGTTACGTGTTTGGTGAAAAAGTTGGTTGATAAGCCTGATAAGGCAAAAAATGATGTTGCCAAACGGCCTCTTAACTTTTGGAGAACTAAGCAAACTCGAATACACGTAGTATATACTTCTGAGCAAGATGTAAAAAGTAGCTCAATATACTTGAAACACATGATTTATGGAAAAATTTTAAATTTATGCAAAACATTTATAAGCTGATCAGTGCATGTTTTTATTGACCTTTTATTTGTTTTTATTAAAACTATACATACAAACCAAGCATTCCAGCCCAGCTGGTTGTGAGGTTACCGTGCCTAGTAAGAGGTCTCGAGTTCGAAACCCGCTAGGCACATAAGGGTTCGAAACTCAATGGGCTGAGTTTCAGCCCTGATTACTCCAGGATCCCCCAACCCCCAACCCCAGACACCCCTGGAGTAACAATAAAAAAATAAAAAATAAAACTATACATACAAATATCAAGTTCTTACTTTTCATTATCATATAGGGAGTATTACTTTGTGGTTTGATTTCTTTTAAAGCAAACGCTTATCACATTAACAATTTTAATCACGTAACCAATTATAGAAAATTTAACAAGAAAATATATACTACGTATATCCCACGGGTATCATACTAGTTAACTTAACATACGAATCATAATAATGCATAACATATGGCCATATGCAATACTCTAAACAAGGTAAGGGATCTTAAGCATTTGGATTTCAAATCCATATCTAATCAAAGAGAAGAATTTAGGAATTTCTAATGATGAGAGGTTAATCATAAAATATGGATTTCCGTGACGTACTCACTCAATAAAGGATGAATTAGTTGATATAATAGGAATATGTCATGTGTGTGATGTACTAAAACCGTATCCAAAGTAAAGGCACCAAAAATTTCACTAATCCATCTTTCGACTTATGCTTCAGCAAAGCGCTTACGTTCGCCAATGGACTTTCCACCTAAGCGCATACGTCCTCCGCTCAGCCACTTCTCACTATATATATATATATAACCGATCACTGCCTCTAGTATCCCATTCCATTCTCCGTCCATCTGCAATCTGCATACAGTTATACTTTTTCTCTTTTGCTGTGCTTTCTGGAATTTCCTAATCACTATGGCAATGGCAGCAGATTCAAAAGAAACAGAGCTCCCAGTGAAGGCCTTTGGATGGGCAGCGAGGGATACCTCTGGTGTTCTCTCTCCATTCAACTTTTCCAGAAGGTTGATATATATTGGAAATGTACAATTTGTGTGACGTACAATTTGTATTGATATTTTTAATTAATATTGGGAATGTACGTGAGTAGGGAAACAGGGGAGAAGGATGTGCAATTCAAGGTGATGTATTGTGGAATTTGCCATTCAGATCTTCACCAGCTCAAAAATGAATGGGGTTCCACTTCATATCCTATTGTTCCCGGGTATAGTAACATCATGAATTTTCAATCTCAGATTATCCATCACTTTTAATTCTCCTTAATCTAACTTCTTCTTCCACTTATGGATCCGGAGCAGGCATGAGATCGTTGGTGTGGTGACTGAAGTGGGGGGCAAGGTCCAGAAGTTTAAGGTCGGCGACAAAGTGGGTGTGGGATGTTTTGTCGGATCCTGCCGCACGTGCGAAAGGTGTGAAAGTGATTTGGAAAACTACTGCGCAGGAGGAATCCTAACCTACAATGCTGTCGGGACCACCACATACGGTGGTTACTCAGACATTATGGTCGCCGACGAGCACTTTGTTCTCCGCTGGCCGGAAAATTTGCCCATGGAGGCTGCTCCTCTGCTCTGTGCCGGGATCACCACGTATAGCCCTTTGAGATACTTCGGACTCGACAAGCCCGGAATGCACATCGGAGTTGTCGGGCTCGGTGGCCTTGGCCATATGGCTGTCAAGTTCGCTAAGGCTTTTGGATGCAAAGTTACTGTCATCAGCACCTCTGCTGGTAAAAAGCAGGAAGCCGTTCATCGTCTTGGCGCGCACTCATTCTTGATCAGCCGCAACTCAGAAGAAATGCAGGTTTGCAAATTCAAATATATCTAGCAAGCTTCTGATCGTTAATTCTTAAATAAACAAAAGATATGAAAATTTACACTATTCACATGTTCCACTTTAATTACGTTTTATTCATTAATGTATTAATAATTTTTTATGAAAAAAATTATAATTTTTAAAATCTAATTTCTTTAAATTTTTTACTAATACAAAATTGTATATATTAATGGTCAAAGTTGTGTCTCGACAAGTGTAAAATGTTGACCGTTGCATTTATTAAAGAACGGAGGAAGTATTAATTAGGAACCCTTGTATTTGACAACTCTTATGTATAAATATACTTGCGAAGGTTCCTACTGGAGCTAGGCTTCCTATTATTTCACAGCTTCATCATATCTAGCAAGCTTCTTGTCATTCATCTTCTTGATCTTTATAGGCTGCCGCAAACACATTAGATGGCATTATAGACACCGTTTCTGCAGTTCACCCTCTTGTTCCACTACTCTCTTTATTGAAAGTAAATGGAAAGCTTGTTTTGGTTGGAGCTCCGGAAAAACCACTTGAATTGCCTGCTTTTCTTTGATCCCCGGTATGTATATCCTTATAAAGTTTCCTAAGAGTAGAAATTTCTCTTCATATTTGAAGCCCCATATACCAATCTTAACGGTAAAAGGTAATATATAATTATAATTAACAAATAGAGTTGTTATTGAATTGATTATTAATATCACACTTTTCATTCTAATGGTCTGATCACATACAGGTAGGAAACTGGTTGCGGGAAGTGCCGTTGGTGGATTGAAAGAGACCCAAGAAATGCTAGACTTTTCTGCTGAGAACAACATAACACCGGATGTGGAGGTTGTCCCAATGGATTATGTGAACACTGCAATGGAACGCCTCTCTAATGCTCAAGTGAAATATAGATTTGTACTAGACGTTGCAAGCATTAGGGGTGGGAAAAGGCCAAAACAGGCAAGAGTTTTGCTTGAAGAGGTTGGACCTATTTTAGTATGTTTAGGCCTATGTCTGGCCTGGTACTTGTTAAAGGTCTGTTTCTCGGCCAGAGTCTGATTTATTTAAACGCATGGCTGAAGCATGTATAACTAAGCCCATAAAGTATTTTATTTTATATATATATATATATATATATATATATATATATATATATAATTGTATTCTAATTTATAATACACACTTCATAAAAACACTTTTATGCCTAACAAGTTACTCCACGAGTCCACTACTCTTATCAGAAGCGACTAGTACTACACCCGTGCGATTGATTTATTAGAATATTTTGCGTATATGTAATTGGTAAACGAAGTGGACTTCGTAGTTCAACAAAAACCATAGGAAGTTCATTCTCAAAGATATTCAGGTCTTTATAATTTAAATACTCATCATCGACACCTACATCATATACATCATAAGTGTTAAATAATCCGGTGTCGGAAAAAATGACATCGGTGCGATTAATGATATGTGATGGCCCATCATTAACATTTCGTTGAACTATGGAGCACTCGGTAGTTTGAACTTCAATAGAAGAGCACGATTGACCTTCAAATCTTGAGATGACATCTGGACATCCATATAATTTCAATCAACCAACAACTAGTGTAACACCCGGGACATGCCCTGGTAGTGTCATGTTAATATGATTTAAAACGGTAAATATTGGTAGAGGTTATGACTTATTTACATAATTTTGTAATAACATTTTTTATATTGAAAAAAAAACGAATAAATTTAGTGAGAAATGAGAAAGGGGATTTTAAAAAGTTGATGGGCATGTGAATTGTTATTCCTTTGGTTTTAGGCTTATTATTATTTTTGTTTTGAGTTTATGATCACATTAGTTGAAAAAGGTTCATAGTATGTTGTAACAGGCTAGGAAAGGCTTAAATATAGCATTTGATTGTGAATACCACGATTACGGTAAGAATTGATTTTGGATCAATGTTACTGATAAAATATATATGTAATGATCGGGTCGAACTAAAAAAAATGTAATATCACTATTAGGAATGATCCTGTCCAGCAGCCCCCGGTCCGAACAGTGTCCGAACATGGAGATTTGGGGCACTTCCCGGTGAAATTTTTTGATGAAATGTTTTGAGCATGTTCTTAATCAAGTCTAGTTTGTTCATACCAAATTTCAGCTCAAAATTCGTTCGGGAAGGCATTCAAATCATTTTTTGAAGTTGACTGCGTTTTTATATGTAACATCATGTCGTCACTTGCAGTACATGTCGTCCCTTACCATAGAGGCGGCACATCTGGAGGAGCGGGACCATCAAGTCGTCCTGGCTCGTTCCCGCTTCCCAGTGATAAAATTGATATAACAAAATTGAGTATGATAATATTAATATTGAAGAGGAGAAAAGGAGTTAGCAGAGAGCAAAACTCTAAACTTACTTATTCATACATCATGCGTACATGTATATATAGTACAACAAAGGGGTATGACTCATCACAAGAGAGAGAAGATGGCTCTTGCATGGTCCATACAATAATAGGAGTAATATCTAATACGTAAATAGTAAATATGCTACTTAACTAGTTATTACAATAATAAAATATAACATGCTGTAATACTCCCCCTCAAGGTGGAGTGTGAAGATTGCGAACACCCAACTTGCTTCGAAGAAATTGAAATCGGTCAGCGCCCAAGGCCTTTGTGAATATATCAGCAACTTGATTGGTTGTGGAGATGGATAGTGGTCGAATCTCATTAGTGGAGACTCTTTCTCGGACAAAATAACAATCTATCTCAACATGTTTAGTACGTTCATGGAAAACTGGATTAAGCGAAATATGTCGAGCAGCTTGATTATCACAGTAAAGAGATGTAGGATCTTCTTGAGGGACTAGAAAATCCTGAAGTAACCATCACAACCACAAAATCTCGCTAACAGTTACTGCCATAGCGCGGTATTCTGCTTCGGCGGATGAGCGAGATACAACAGATTGTTTCTTTGTTCGCCAAGAAACGGGTGAGTTACCAAGGGTGATGAAGTAACCGGTACTGGATCTACGAGTAAAAGAGCACCCTGCCCAATCTGCATCGCAATAGCCCCGGAGCGTGAGGTCAGTTTCTGATGATAAGAAAATTCCTTGACCCGGTGTTTGTTTCAGATACCGCAGAACACGTGTTGCCGCATCAAGGTGTGTTTGACGTGGACAACTAAGAAATTGACTGAGTTGACTAACAGAGTAAACAATATCCGGACGAGTCACAGTGAGGTATAATAAGCGCCCGATGAGACGGGGGTAAGAAGAGGCATCCACCGGAGGGCTATCATCATCTGGGCGAAGTTTTAAATTTTGCTCCATGGGAAACTGAGAAGGGCGTCTAGCGAGCATACCACTCTCTTCAAGAATATCAAGAGTGTACTTACGCTGGCTCAAGACAAAACCATCTGGAGAGCGAGCGACTTCAATGCCGAGAAAATATTTCAGTTTCCCCAAATCTTTAATACTAAACTCATTGTTTAAGTAATCTTTTACTGTACCAATGTGGGTAATGTCATTTCCTGCCAGAATAACGTCATCGACATAGATGAGAGCAAATGTGACAAGTGAGCCTTGTTGGAAGATAAATAGCGAATGGTCTGCTTGTGATTGACGGAAACCAATTTTGGTGAGAGCTTGGGTAAATTTATGATACCAATTACGAGATGCCTGTCGTAATCCATAAAGTGATTTCCGTAATTTGCAAACACGAGTATCACCAGCCTTTTTAAAACCTTGGGGAATACGCATGTAAACATCTTCAGACAGATCTCCGTGAAGAAAGGCATTGTTTACATCCAATTGATGTACTATCCACTTACGTTTGGCTGCAACTGCCAGTATGCATCTCACAGTAACAAGCTTGGCGACAGGGGCAAAAGTCTCATGAAAATCAATTCCCTCAACTTGTGTATATCCTTTAGCTACCAATCTAGCTTTATAGCGCTCCACACCTCCATTAGGCTTATATTTAATTTTATAAACCCATTTAGAGTCAACAACTCTTTTCCCTGGTGGGAGATGGACCAAAGACCAAGTTGCGTTTTCTTCTAAAGCATGAATCTCCTTTTGCATGGCCTCCCGCCATAGTGGGTCTTGGACTGCCTGAGAAAAATATTTAGGCTCATCACGTGAAGTGATGGCAGCTAAAAAGGCTTTATGTGTGGATGAAAATTTTTCATAACTAATAAAATCAGATATGGGATATGGTTTTGAGTTGACTGAATTGGTAATTGGTCGGGAATGATCAAGTGAAGGTGGCAATTGAACTTCATAATTGTCAAGATGCTTTGGGATTTTACGGTTCCGATCATGTCTTCTTGACTGATTAGAAGGACCCACTGGAATATGTCCTTCTGCTAGATTGTCAACTTGAGAGGGAAATTGTGCAGAATTATTTGGTGACTCTTGAAATCCAGTAGGTGGCTGGATTAATATATCAACGAGTGGCTCCTCATGATTTTTAGAGGTGGGGCCATGATTTTGGAATTCACATGCAGAGGTTGGAGGATGATTGATTTGCTGCTGCCCATTTCCGTGTAGTTGCTCGCTAGCTAGCTCCAAAAATGTATCTGGCGTATTCCTTGCTGCAGATGTGGGCCGAGGAAGATTTCAGCATGTGGAGAAGATTCAAGGGGAATCGGCTTGGCCGGCGGCACTGTTGTTGATCTGAGAGTGTACTGCTCCCATGCAGCCGGTGCTGTTGGTGTGGGGGCACGACATTGCTCCTCACAAGAATTTTGTCCTCGTGTAATAATGGGATGTAGGCTGGGACTCACGTTTGTGGTGTTGCTCTACTCTGTGGGATACTCACAAGATAAAATATGATTGTATACTTTGTCAATAAGAGTGGGGAAATCAAGCTCATGATCGAGACTCATTTTAAATGGAAACTTCTCTTCATAAAAGGTTACATCTCTGGAATTGTATACAATATGTTTTTGCAAATCAAAAACTTTGTATGCCTTTTGACCATGCGGATAACCCATAAATATACAAGGGCTCCCACTCTCACCGAATTTATCTTTTCTTTTATTGATGTGTGCATATACCAAACATCCGAACACTCTTAAATGTTCATAATTGGGCACTTTCCCAAATAGCATTTCAAAAGGACTTTTGTTTTGAATGATGGGAGAAGGAAGCCTATTAATAATGTAAACAGCTGTCAAAATGCATTCTCCCCAAAAATCAATAGGCAATCCAGATTGAAAACGTAATGCTCTTGTTACTTCCAATATGTGTCTATGTTTACGCTCTACAACTCCATTTTGTTGAGGTGTGTCTGTGCATGACGTTTCCAATAATATCCCAGTGTGCCCATAATAATCAAGTAGACTATTGGTTTGAAATTCTACGCCATTATCTGCTCTTATTCTTTTGACCTTTTGCTCAAATTGGGTATTAACCATGTTGCAGAAATGAATTAAAAGCTGAGGAACTTCAGATTTATTTTTCATTAAATAAACCCACACACCTCTAGTATAATCATCAACAATAGATAGAAAATACCGTGCTCCGGAGATTGAATCACATCTATAAGGTCCCCAAATGTCGCAATGTATCAATTCAAAACAGCGGGTTGTCTTAATCCCACCTTTGGGAAAGGGCAACCTAGTCTGCTTAGCACGAATACATGGATCACAAAAATTATCATTCCGTTGAAAACCCTTGAGAGAACTAATATGATGTATCTTTCCATCGGATGCATGCCCCAAACGTTGATGCCATAAATCAGAAGTAATTGAGACTGACATTGCCACCCCTTCACTCTTCTGAGATTCTAAATAGTAGAGACCATCACGAAATTTACCTACGCCAATAAGTTTTCTCGTGGATAAATCCTGGAAAACACAGAAGTCTGAGAAAAATGATAGCGTACAGTTTAAGTTGCTTGTTAGGCGACTGACTGATATTAGGTTACACTGAAATTGCGGAATGTACAGAACGCGTTTAAGATGGAGCCCATTGGGTAAATATAAACTTCCAACAGCATGAACCGGGATTGATTCACCGTTAGGAATTCTGACTGGTGGTTGTGGGATGTGATTCATGATATCGAAAAGGTTAATATCACTACAAGTGATATGTTCAGTAGCTCCGGAATCAATTATCCAAGGACGAGCATGTGGCAACGTATATGCCATATTCACTTGAGCTCCTAACAAGGAAGAAATCATATTCTCATGGCAAGTCTTGACGGTT